CTCATCCAGCAGTCACTGGACACCGTCTTTTCTACTCTGTGATGACCAATCCATGCTTCTCTCTGCCTGCTGTACGTAGCCCCATCGGCTCCAACATGCACCAGCACGGTATTTCTTCGCTGCTTCTCTGCCACCACCATCGCCCTTCATCAGACCACTTGCCAGAGAAGCCAATCTAAAGCAAGACTGCATTGTTCTGCTGTTTTTAGCTCCCCCTGTACCCATCCAAGGTCCTTCTCTGGGTGTGCAAGATGATTGGATCTGCTGCCGGGGACTGTGCTAGAGCCCTGGTGAAAACGGGCAAGACAGCTCTGCTGTCCAGTGCACACAGACCCTCTAGTCTCTGAAGCGCATGTCCCTCCCACAGACACACACCGTGCAGTATGACCGATCCTCTAACGTGTTAAGGAGGCTTGGGGAATTGCCGTCACAAGCTCCCAACTCTGTATGCACACGGCATCTGCCTTCGCTTTTCCAGCCTTTGCTCCTCTTCTTGCTGCTGAGAATTTGCATCAGCTATGTCCATCCATCCCCCTGATTGCCCAGCTGTGGGCAGGAACAGGTCTCTTTGTCTGTGGCCTTTCATCAAGGACTTTCCGTAAGAGGGAAAAGATTCCAAAGGACTGGGTGTGAGCGCCACAGTTGTATTTGCGTTTCTGTTAAAGCCCTTCCTGTCTTTCTAGGTCTGCTCTGACCACTTGGCCCCCCAAGCCCTCAGCCTACACCTAGAGTCCGCCACCAACCCCTCCATTTAATAACCCATCATTCCGCCTCTCTTGTTCCCTACCCTCTACCCATCATCCTTTCCTGCTTAACATACTCCTACCAGCACCTTCAGAAGTGGTTTTCTCTTTATGAAACCGCCCTTGACTTCCAAGGCTGACCTACACATTCCTCCCTCCATGTTCTGTCTTTCTGGAAACACACTGGTTAGAGCGATCATCACTCTGAGCATCACTGTTGATTTACATGCCAGTAATGTAAATTCTAAACTGTGAAAACTTGGGAGGTAAGGACAGATGCGTCTTGGCTCCCAGGCTCAGTATGGTTCCTGTTTAAAAAAAAAAGAAAGAAAGAAAGAAAGAAAAAGCTACTCTCCAGATGTTGGGTGGGTGGTTATGTCAGTAGGTGAGTGAGTGGGTGGGTGGGTGGGTGAGTGAAGGAAGACATCATCTCAGAGCCCAGGATGCTCAATGGGGCTGGCATTGCTGGCGGTGGGCTAACCCAGCACCGGTTTTGCTGATGTAGTCCTTTGTGGCTCCTTTTCACAGATGGGGTTGACCGGACCTCCACAATCTAGAAACTGAAGATGAGAGTGACCGCGCTGGCCGTGAAATCGACTGCTGCGGGTCCAGTGTCAGCCATCTTCAGGGTTGCATAGAATCTTCCAAGACACTTTGCAGCCTTTTCCCCCTGGTCCCTCGCCCATTTTGATTTTGTGAGAGCGTAGGTCATCCTTGTAAACATATCAGTAGACCTGGGGTTGGTTATGTTGTCATTTGTTTCTGTCATGGGATGGGACAGTATGCGGGGTGGGGAGGGGACGCTAGGGGAATGTGGGGCTGGGAGGGGGTGGAGGGATGCTAGTGGCTTCCTGGATGGAAATGGGGTGGGGAAGAGTATGGTTAGGTGAGAGATACAAGAGACACACAGGAGGGAGGTAGCAGCCCTGCCCTAGGGAACCTTCTCAGAAGCCTGGCTTCATAGTCAGGCCGCAGAAGACGGAGGATACAAGCAACCAGAGCAAGATGGCGGCTGGCCTGTTTGTGTCTCCCCCTGACTGGATTTCCCTGAGGCCCTGCGTGACACAGCCACGAGAGAGGGCCGTACAGCAGCAAGGGCAAGGGGACGAAATTCCCTCCAGCAAACTTTCAGATAAACTTTGATTTGTGTATTGTTTACATAAGAATTTTAAAGGGTACATAATGTGTAGCGTTTGGGTAGAACTCTTCATACTATGGTTTTTTGTAAAAGACTGATTATTGTTATGGATTCATTTTGTTTCATCTATTTTTATAATAGTAGCAGGGTTGTCTTTTAAAATGGCTGCCAAGCTCTGCTTCTCGGGAAGGTGGATGTAGTCCAGGAGACCTCGAGTTGCCTGCCGTCTTCCCACCACAAGGTGGGAGGAGTGTGTGGATGGATTTGGAGGGCGAGGATGTGGCCGTGACGCAGCTCTAGGCAAGGACACAAAGATGGTGGCACCATGTGATCAGTTACGGATTTGCTCATAGGTCACCCAGAGATGATGAACTTTGCAGCCTCTTTCTGGGCTGGATTTGCATCCCACCTGAGGCCTGTCTTGCTTCCCACCCTCCCCACAGGCTCCATCCTACCACCCCCGGTCTCACTCCACAGACAGGCAAGTGGGTACAAGTCCTTCTAGAGGTCTCCCACGCAGAGCATTTGCAATGGAGACTTCGCAGTAGCCTAAGCCTGGGAACTGTATCCCTTTCACTCCATCTCTGCTGAAGAAGAATGGTCCAGCAATAGTGACAGAGAGACAGACGAGTGCAGAGAGGCAGAGGCTCCATCATCCGAGGCGGGCAATGAACGCCGAAGCAGGAAAGGTTAAATTGGTGAGATAAATAGTGCCTCTATCCATGCCCGTGAGTCAGAGATTTGCTGTATTGTGGGATGGTTTATCCAGCCTTACATAGGAAAGGGAAAACACACATGTACCCAGTACACAATGAGAGATCAGCTGTGGCAGCATGGGTAATAGCTATTTCTTAAGGGCAACAAAGACAGTATTTCAGAATTTGATGCAATGGAGGATATTATAAGGAATCGAAAAGGAATTGTGCACCGCACTGGGAAGTTAGTTGTGTAAATGTGATGGTGTGAATGCTTACTTAGCCAGAGGCGTGATCTAGGAGATAATATATGACCTGTTTATTAAATGGGCAAGTCTGATGCCTCTCTAAAAAAAAAAAAAAGAAAGAAAGAAAAAAGGAAAAAAAAAGAAAACGTGATGTCTAAGTCAAAATTAAAGGGATTGGACCATGAAATGGTGGTACCTTGCCTATGGTTATTTTTTCAAGTTAATGAAGGGTATCCAGACTTTAAAGGCCTTAATAAAAATCCACACAACTTTGTTTGCCTGTCAAGATTATAAATGTAAACCCAGCCCAACCTTGGATGCTTGCAACAGAGATCTTGAAGTCCTTTGACAGTCCAAAAGGCCAAGAGCACTGTAAGCAGATAGACAGAGCTTTTAGTGATCACAGAAGGCTTGGATGCACTATTCTGTGCAGCCCATCACAACAACGGTAACAAAAGATTCAGTCCACCTCCTCGGGTGACCAGGTCTTGAAGATGCAAATTCATGTGCAGAAGGAGGCAGCATGTTTCGTTTATATATATTTATATATATAAATGTTTTTAACCAAGTGCCATTAACACTCATCCCTCATGTCCCTTTTCCAAACAAGTTCAATGTTGGGGAAGGAGCAGGGATGGAGGATCACATGTAAGTCAGAATAGGCCAAAATGTCGAAGGTCAAAGGTAAGGCCAGAGGGTCTGAGGATGTGTTTGGAGGATGCTGAGGAGGAACAGAGAGGAACAACAGGATTCCTCGTCTTGTAGGAAGGAAAGGTCGTCGGATCTGCCACATATCCATAAGGACAAGGCTACTCAGAAACCAGATTGTGAACAATCACATGAGCGTGAATCTTCGAAAAAGAAGACCATAAAGTATTTGCAAATCTGAATTTCTATTTATTCCTTCATTGAATATAGAAACAATGGCTATCTGATTATTAGAGATATTATTTTGGATATGTTACTTATTAACTCGCTATGGCTGGTAACCATGATAAAGTCTGTTATTAGTAACAACATAATTCTTTTTTTAAAAAAAAGAAAACAAAGGAAAGCTTATTTTTCATTGATTGTATAGATTTATCTACTTAGTTGTGGTTTGCTATGTTAATGTTTTCTTTTCTTTTTTAAGTTTTCTGATGATTTTAAGAGCCTCTCCCCACCTTGTTTGGAGTCCTGTGTTGACTGCAGGTATACAGCTCAATTTAAAACTCCTAAAGCAAAGGAATCTTATTTATAAAAAGAGTTGAACAGTTGCATGCCTGAGGCTGAGGTTAGACCTTTAGGGATAAGCTGCAGTGCCTTTTTTATATTTACCCACTGACACTCTCTCCCCCGCCCCCACCGCCATGCAGCTGTTTTATATAAACAGTAAAAGTTTGAAACTTTCAGAGTAAAATATATTTCACTGCATAGGTTCCCCCCACCCACCTCGCTCTGATTTAAGCAGCATGTCTCTGCACTGTCTGAGGCACAGTGCTGGTCTCCAGCATCATGGGTGATGTTTTATTGGTGCTTTTTACTCATAGTGTTTTCTTACCAGAAAACAGTAGGAAGAAACACACGAACTGTGTACAAGACACGAAACATTGCTGCTGCTGATGGTGTTTGGTTTGGTTTGGTTTGGTTTTCTCTTTCCCCGCCACGTGCTTTTGAGTTTCACTTTTGAAAACACAAATCCAGCAAGCAGAGTGGATGCTGCTGGGTCTGCCTGCCAAGGGCTGCTGTTTGCACCAAGCCCTCAGATCCTGGGTTGAACCGAGTGAAGATTCAAGGTCTTTTTCTGCATCCCAGGATGGGGGCTGCAGCTGAGCCCCACCCCCTCCCATTCTTCCAAGGCGACACTGAGGGAAACTAGATTTCCTCTTGAGGTGTCGCTGCCTGCCTTTTACAGAATGGGAGTCTTCTCCGGGTCTTTTGTTCTTCTGTGCCTCTCGTAGCTAGTGCTCATGTAAGGTTTGTAGATCTGTGCACCCCAGAGCCTGGGCTGAGGGCTGAGCTAGGGAGGAGAGGAAAGTGGGTTGCCTTTCCACTAGAGCCTGAGTCGGGGGAAGCACCCTGCCCAGGGTGCTCAAGTGTGCCTATTACAAACAGAACCTGCAGAAGGATAAATTGTACACGGAGCTGTGATAACACTAATGTTGGTTTTTCTGTTTTTTTTTTTTTCTTTTTTACAACTCATCAGAGATGTTTGCAAAATGACTTTTTTTTTTTTTAATTCCTTTATCTTGACTTAAAGGTGAATGTGTATCCCTCTGGGAGGAGCAAGGAGAAAGCAGGAATGTTAGTAATGGCCAACAGAAGACTTCCTCCCTTATGAATATATATACCCTCATGTATTTAGGCCTAACGTAAGCTGACCTTCAAAAGGCTTCCTTCGTTGCATGCCCTGTACAGGCATCTGTATTGTACATGCATGCCTTTCGTCCTGTTCTCCTGTATAAAGTTAGTGAACAAAGAAATATTTTTGCCTAGTTCATGTTGCCAAGCAATGCATATTTTTTAAATTTGTCATATATGGAAAGAGCATGTTTGTTACATGTAAAAGCTTTACTGATATACAGATATACTAATGTTTGAAGATGCTGTTCTTTGCAAGTGTACAGTTTTCAAATGTTGTTACCAGTGACAACACCCTTGTGGTCTAAACTTGCTACAATGTATTTATTATTCATTTCCTCCTACAGAATTAAGAATCATGGCTATATTTCATATGGTTATATTGAGAGTGAAGGGAAATGATTAATACAAGGTTTTGTAACACTGGTGTGTGTGTGTGTGTGTGTGTCTTTTTAATCCCCCTCTTTTTGTAAACACGATCAATTATTAAAAAACAAAAAAACAAGCTGGGTGCATGCCTTTAATCTCAGCACTCAGGAGGCAGAAGCAGGTGAATCTCTGTGAGTTTGAGACCAGCCTGGTCTACAGAGCAAGATCCAGAATAAGCACCAAAACTATATATATATATATATATATATATATATATATATATATATATATATATAAAGCCACCTCAGGTCTTAGGAATCAGCCCTCAATGAAGAACCAGATAAACTCTCACTGGTTAACTATTCTCAGCTGATTGCACCACATGATGTCCACCATTAGCCACATGCTCCTTTTGGAAATGGTCAGGGAAAGGGTTGGCAAATGTATGCAATTTGATCTCTGTGTGCCCAGAATAGCCAATAAATGCTTTGCCCAGAGTAAATGCAAACTACCTTTGCAGCTATGGTTCATAGCTTTACTCCCATTCTTGACTGCCTTAACACATTCCACACCTTTATCAGAGCACAAAGAAAGAGCCTCCTTGGAGTCTTGGGACTTCACCTGCACGTGGTCCGAGTCCCGTTCTAACACCTTCTAAAGCCAGTAGGATGACATCTGAGATATATATATATAAGTTCTCAGCATTCCATGGTTAAGTGTGTGACGGGGAGACAGGCTTGGGTTGAGGTCTGGCTTCAGCATTCTCTTAGCGCCGTGACCTAAGGCAAGGCTCTTAACCTCTCTATGCCTTGTGTTGGTGTTTTTGTTTGGGCCTATGATGATTCAACCTTTATGTCTTTATCTCTTTATGCCAAAGAGAAGTGAAAACAAAATATGAGATGGAGGTTAGTCCCACTTGTGACCCTGTAACCCCAAAGTTCTCTGAGGTAGCCTCACTTGGCACTAGGTCAGTGGTGTTTTAGGGTTTCTGTTGCTGTGACAAGACAGCATGACTGTGGCAACTCTAATAAAGGAAAACATTTAAATGGGGCTGGCTTACCATTTCGGAGGTTTAGTCCATTATCTTCATGGCAGGAAGCAAGGCAGCACGCAGGCAGACATGGTGCTGGAGAAGGAGCTGAGAGTTCTACATCTGGATTGTCAGGAAGCAGGAAGAGAGACACTGGGCCTGGCTAGAGCATCTGGAACCTCAAGGCCCACCCCCAGTGACACACTTCCTCCTAAAAGGACCAAGCAGATGCCATAACAGGCTATCAGTCTTCTCTCAGAGATTAGGCCTTAATTTCAGTTCCCTGAGACTTGAGCAAGCAGTTTCTGGGAGGGCCATAAACAAAAGACATAGTCCTTGCAGTAGCTCCCTTTCGGCACGTACTCTGACTGCTCAAGGTTCAGCCAGTTGTTTACTGTCTGGGACCCTCCACCAACTTAGAGCTACGTGCATGGGTCAATGTAAATATGCAAGGCCAGCCAGCCTTCATGGCAGCTCAAGGACAGAGCCTGGGCCACTGAGTCAGCCCCCACAGTGAGTACATGCTAGGCCAGCTCAAGGACAAAGCCTGGGATGTTTCCAGGCCTGCCCAAAAATGATAACTGTAACCCCCAACCAGTAAATTCAAAGGTTACACACCCTCATCCAATCATATGATGCCAAGGCTTGTACCACCCTGCTTGTGGATGGTACCCCTCACCCTGAGAGCTCAGGGCCGTCCTCCTCCTCCCACTGTGTCAGATGTTGGACGAGGACCAAGCCTGAGCTTGCTTGCTATCAATAAACCCCTGTGTGGTTTGCATCGGATATCGGCTCTGTGGTGGTCTTGCTCGGGGGGTCTCATGACGTGGCCACAACACTCCAACAAGGCCACACCTCCAATAATGCCACTTCCTAAGAGTCTATGGGGCCCATTTTCATTCAAACCACCACAAATGACTGACCACACAGTGACTCCCTTTCTCCAGGCTCAGCTGCTTAAGAGACATGAAAAATCTAAATCGGTGCTTGAAAACATGAAGAAATGCCCCCCTACACTATGAGACAAACTGAAATCCCTCATGAAGTTGAATCCTTATAACCCAAATGAGCTATAAGACAAAACACACTAGAGAATGTTGGCTCTCGCTTTTAAATATACAGAATGAAGAGAAAGGATTGGAGAACAGGGTGCTTCGTACCGCACCTAGAATGGGGTTGTGGTAGTTGGTCCTGACAAGCAAAGCTACAGCTCTCTACATCAGCCTCTGTGAGGGAACATTCAATCCTGGAGAAAGCTTCCGTAGAGAAGAAAGTTTCCAGGGCATCCCTCAGCCCTTGCACCAAAGGATGCCATTCGACCTTCAAAGGGGAATTGGGTCAGGGAGATGGCTCAGTGTATAAAGGAACTTGCCGCCAAATCTGAAAACCTGAGGTCGACCCAGGGAAACTATACGGTGGAAAGAGAGAACTGGTTCTGCAAAGTGTCTTCCAACCACCACACACACACACACACACACACACACACACACACACACACACACACACACACTAAAAGAAACTGGTGAGGAGTGATGGAGCACACCTTTAATCCCAGCATTCAGGAGGAAGAGGCAGATGGCTCTCTGGAGTTCAAGGCCAACCTGTCATACATAGTGAGCTCGAGACCAACCAGGGTTAAATAGACCAAAAAAGGAGAACAACTGGCATGTTTAAATCGTAGCTGTTGGGAGGAGGCCACAGGTAAGTTCAAGACTCTAGACCACAGGTGAGTTGTCAACTCCTAGCCCAGTGGACAGGGCTATGGGAGTCCACTCTCTTGTCCTACTGTCCATCACCACATCTATCACTCACAAGAAGAACACTCTTCTCCACAGACATTCCGGCACATTGGCATCCCACCACAGACCTGCAGAGAGTGTTTCACAGATGTTAAGGTTATTGCCAACTTCAAAAATCACCTGATAGACGTCTCTGGACATGCCTGTTCTGCCCTCTGTGGGTGGGACCATTCCCTAACTCAGATCTTGGATAGTGTAAGTAGAGGGAGCCGAGCAGCAACACACATACATTCTTGGCTCGCTGTTGTGATTATGGAAGCAGAAGTGATGTGACCAGCTCCCTGGAGCTGCCGCTCTGGAACCTCCATCGTGATGGACTGTAATCTCAAACTGAGTTAACCCTTTCTCCCCTGAGTTGCTTTTCCTGGGGTATTTTATCACAATGGGAAGGCTCACTAAGACATGAGACATGTGCAAGCAGCTCTGCTTTCTATTTCTGTCCTCTTATCTTGACACTAGACCTGCCCCCCACTTCCATGAGTGTTTCATCTTCTGAACCCTTAGCAGTAGCTCTGGGATCCCCTACTCCACTCTGTGCTTCTGTGAACAAACACATGGTTACTGGCTTTTTCCACTTAACATAATCCAACTCTTTTGTGAGGTACAATAAATATTAAACCCACACTGTCCCCCTGCTGTATTTTATGAGATCAAGCAGACAAATTATTCTATCCAATTCCAGTAAGGTCACCGTATTCTGCTTTGCTAGACTCTGAGGACAACCAACAGGAGATGAATGGTGGAGTTCTGGTACCAACAGAAGTCACTCTCAGGTCCCAGGGATACCTAGAACTTGGCCCAAGAATGATGACCAATTGGGCCATTAGTCACTTTAAAGCGGAGGACAAAATAGGGGGGAAACAGGAAGTGGGTGTGTGGGTGTGTCCTTACTGAAGCCAAAGTCTTTGGTAACAAGCCTGTCATTACAGCTCCGTTCCCAGGTCACCCTCCAAACTCTTCTTTCCACATTCCCATCCCTGGCTCCTGGCCCTGGTGGATTAAGAATGGAGGGTGATTTGTTTGTGTATTGTGTGTATGCGTATGAGCATGCATGTGTATGTTTGTGTGTCTTTGAAGTGGGAAATGTAGGCTAGGAAAACTGGGAGACAGGCATAGACAGGCTCTGCTTGAACAAATGATTCTTCAAGGTGTCCTCCGGGCTCCAGCCTGGCCAGTCGCTTCTTCTGGCCAGCCTTTCCCATGTGGCTTCTGTCCACAGACACTGACTCCTCTGTGTTTTTAACTCGGGAATTCCATGTCTAAGTATTTCCTCTGTGGAATATTTTAAACTCTTAAGTGGCTTCTACTTCAGCTCTTTAAAAAAACAGCCAGGAAGTATTTTGGCTACTTTATAAAGGTTGAACTTTATACGTAAAAATAAAAAGACTGTTTTGTGTTTATATTTGACTCAAAGAACATGTTTGGTTTTTTTTAATACTGCATTGCATTTGTTGTTTTTTGTTTGTTTGTTAGTTTGGGTTTTGTGATTGTTTGTTTTGTTTTTGCTTTTTGTTTTTTGTTTTGTTTTGAAATTTTACTGTTTTAAGTCCAATGCAGGACAAACAAAATCAGACTTTGGTGAGTGACATGGTCCCTCACCAGGGCTGGTGGGACTTCAAACAAACAGCCTCACTCCTGGAGGACCGCAGCTAGATCGAGTGTAATTCTGTTTATTTTGATGTCCTCAGGAGATATTTCCAGTGTGTATGTGTGTGTGTGTGTGTGTGTGTGTGTGTGTGTGTGTGTGTGTGTGTACACATGTACATGTACCATAAGACTCTTGCCGGGCTCAGTTAAGTGAGGTTGAACGAATCTACAAACCCTGACCTCAGATCTGTCCAGTCGAACCTTACCACGACATTTCTGTTGGGTTTACCCCCAATCTGATCAGTCCAAAGAGGTTTAACACTCATTTTTTTACATCTCCCCGAACTTCTCCTAACATTGGCCCGAGTCCTTGACTTGCAAGACAGAGTGTGCACACACATGTGGATGAGAGAATAAAGACACATTTTACTGAAAATTTCCCTCTACCCATTGCTAAATGCACCACGCCAACCCCAGGGTGGGGCACAGAGAGCCAACAGCCTTTTTTCCTCTCTCTACTCTGAGGCTGGGCCAGCCCATCTCCCAAGCAACCTTGCGTGGCTCTGCTAAGATCCAGAATCCAGGCTTTCATTCACCTGCAGTTCAGTCCAGTTTCTCCAGGTCTGCTTCCAAGCAGTCCATGTTCCACCTCCTCTTCAAAACACAAAGATTTCAGGGCGCAATGTTAGGTCTGGGCTTTGAAGTCTTCCCCGTACATACAACATCCTGAGAATGAGACGCTAACCAGCTAGACACCTGGAAAGAGAGAACACCAGCACCAAGGTCCTCTAGGACTCATAGGGAAGTTCAGAGTTACAGTGAGGTGGCCATATTACCCCACATGACAAAACCTGAGCTGGGAACACCCGCCGCCGCCGCCGCCGCCGCCGCCACTGCCACCACCACCACCACTACCACCGCCACCCCTACCCCGTTCCTTCAGTCTCAGCTTGAATGGTATGAGCCTAGGAAGGTGTCCATTAGAGGGCGAGGAAAATGGGGCTGCTACCCAGCTCCTCCCTAGTAGGATGTGATGGCCCTTACAGTCAGGATGGAGCCATGAACAGAGCTCTGCTCTGGTCTTCAGGGTCTCTAGAAAAGCCTCATTCACCACAGAGAGAAGCCTTCATTCCTTGTCACTTGGAAGAGAGTAACACCCCAAATACTAAGAGCAGGGACCATGGTTAAGGGATGGGACTGAGTTAGACCCTCCAGCTATGACCATCTCACAGGAACACCTATTTGGATGGATATTTGGGCACAAGCTCTCTTAGAAGAGTGAAGGAAACCAGATGAAAATGTACCAAGTCTGGATTTTGCATAAAATGAAGGAACAACACCTTGAAGAGGCAGGAAGGAATGAGGTGTCCCAATCATTCCTCCTCAAACCCCTGGCAATGGAACTTGGAGACTCCTCCCACCTGGGAAAGCAAGAAGAAGAAAATCCAGGCCTTGCCCTTGAAAGGCAGAGTCATAATCTGCCCAACCCTACAGACCCATGTTGTTAGCCAGGGAGCCCCAGGTCTGCCCCCACCACTACCCATCAATGTTGGGACAGAGGCAGACTCCACCTGCTTACCGACAGGTACAACAGAGAAATGAACATAGGACTCTGCCCTGGAACTCAGTGTCAGTGCGCTGTGAAACCCAGCACCTTACAGAACCCACACCAGGATTTGAAAAGCTAGGCAGAATTCCACAACACCTGAGCACAGGCCAGAGACTGTGACGAGGCACCTGAGCCACCCAGGCCCACATCCAGAAGGGGTCCTTTTTAGGCACTCACTGAAAAAGCACACCAAACATGAGTTTGTAACAAATCTGGTCTTGAGTGAGACAGTGAGAACACACCGGCCACAGACTTGGGACAAACCTGTACTTAAGGTTCCATCTGGCATCAAACAGCAGAAGTGACCACAGGCTCTGGAGAAAACCAGCATCCCGATTAAAGCTCCTGGAAAGAACGCCACAGGTGAGGCCAGATCGCGAAATCAGGAGTAAACAGAGCCCTCTGGTGTACAGAGAACATCGCACCCCAGCGAACGTCAAGGGGGGACCCTTTAACCCCAGCACTCTGGAGGCAGAGGCACGAGGAGCTCTGGTAGTCTGATGGCCAGCCTGGTCTAAATATTGAGTTCCAGGACAGCTGGGACTTCATACAGGTACCTTGTCCCCACCCCCACCCACCCACCCCCACCACCCACCCCAAAAAAAGAAATAAAGAAAAGAAAAAAGTCAAGGGAGCCGGGCGGTGGTGGCACACGCCTTTAATCCCAGCACTCGGGAGGCAGAGCCAGGTGGATCTCTGTGAGTTCGAGGCCAGCCTGGACTAACAAGTGAGTTCCAGGAAAGGCGCAAAGCTACACAGAGAAACCCTGTCTCGAAAAACAAAAAAAAAAAAAAAAGTCCAGGGAGGTGCTAGAGATGGTTCAGACCCAAGTTCAGTTCCCAGCACTTACATCAGGTGTTTCACAACCACTCCCAGCTCCAAGGGGTCCAACATCGATGGGCTTTGTGGGCACCTGCACACACACACACTCTCTCTCTCTCTCTCTCTCTCTCTCTCTCTCTCTCTCTCTCTCTCTCTCTCTCTCTCTCTCACACACACACACACACACACACACACACACACACACAATTAAAAATAAATATAAATATGCAGGGAAATGTAATCGTGGGTAAAATAAGATTCCAGAAACCAACCATAAAGCAATAATCCATGCAAATGCTTAAGGAGACCAAACAAACAGTTTTTAGAAAGCCCAGAGAAACAACTTGTGCCTTTGACCAGAGGAACCAGAGACTTGAAAATAACTGTAAAATAATTACATGGAAATCCCTGAGCAGGAAAGTTAAGAACCCAACAGAAGGCAACAATAACAATAAGTCAAATGAGAACCGACGGAGGAACAGACAGCCTTTCCGAGACCCACTGCTGGAAAAGAGAAACAATAAAGTGGAGGTACCGCAGAGGTGCCCGTCATTAAGAGGACTCGCTGCTCTTGCAGAAGACCGGCGCTCTGGGGGATCGGGCACCGTCTTCTGGGCACTTACACAACTTTCATACACAACCCACATGCGGACACAGACACATAAATAAAAATTAAAAAATATTTTTGTAAAAAGAAGAAAGATGAATAAAATGCATGCTGCCTATGAGGAACTCACTTCACCCCTGGGGACTGCACACATTGAAGGGGAGGTGTGAGAGAAGACATTCCACACAAATGGAATACTAAAAATGGTGCAAGTAGCCCTATTGTATCAGATAAATTAGACATTAAGTCAAAAGCATGAGAAGACACAGGGAAGGCCATCAATTAGTAATAAATGAGTAGATTTGGCAAGAGGAAATAGCACTGTAAATGTATGTGTGCCTAATAACCTAATATTAGACCTACATGTTAACACCTCTGAATGAAGGAATAAGTAATATCCAGTGACCCAGCATCCTACTTCCAGCATCATACAAGCCATACAGACAAAAACTCAACAAAAGAACAGCACAATTAAACTACATCCTAGACCAAATGGACCGCTCGGACATCCACAGACTATCCCATCCAATAGCTATCAAATACAAAATGGAACAAAAAACATGCTCTAGGACACATCACATGTTAATCCTCAAAACAAGCCTTGACAAATTTTAAAAACTTGAAATTATGCTACATCCTGAACATCCGATATATCAAGAAGAAATTAAAAATGAAATTTAAATGTTGCATGAAAACGGAAATACATCACAGAATGGGATCCGGCTTAAGAGCGAGGGTGATGTTAGGTGATGAGGAGGTATGGGACACGTGAGACACAAAAGAGGAAAGGAATGGGGGCGCATGAGTAGGAAACATGGGGAGCCACAAAGCATGCTTTGTTAAAAATGTCATTATGGTATCTAATATATTATATGCTGATTTTTTAAAAAAAAATTATAGTAAAAAGAAGGGGATTTGTAACAACAGTGCCTACATCAGAAATAGCAGATTTCAAATGAGTAATCCATCACTCAACCCCAAGGAACTAGAAAAACAGGAATAAAACTCAAGAGAAAAATCAGTGGACATTGGATTGACCTCCACTTTGCAGGTGGGAAAACCATCTCACAGCCACTAAGAAACTTGCTAAAGATCGTAGAAGCCACAGGTCCCAGATCCAGGTATGTCCGTCCCAAATTCTGCAGGAAACAACTATGGCAGGCTGTCTGAGGCTCTGGGAACCTCATAGGAGCACTGGGTACAATGAGTCTCCCAGGCCCCACTTTTCAATTGCCATCACAGCCAAAGACATCAGAACTCCGCAAGCTGCCTATCAAGGAGGCTTTTGGTCAAACGCAGCCCAAGGTGATGGAGGGAAGACATACAGCTGTGGGCTCCACCCAGCCGCTCCTAGGGCTTGCTGAACAATGTTTCCATTGCCCTGTACCCAGGGATGTTGGCTTAATTGTTCTGGAGCATGGCTCAAGGGGGTCAGGCATCAGGTGACCCTAATAAGCAGCAAATGTGAGAGAGTCAGGCCCCCTTTAGGGCAGCAGTTCTCAACCTGTGGGTCGTGACCCCTTTGGAGATTGAAGGATCTTTTCACAGGGGTTGCCTATCAGATATTTACATTATGATTCATAACCATAGCAAAATTACAGTTGTGAAGCAGCAATGGAAATAATTTTATGGCTGGAGGGGAGGCTGGAGGGGAACTGTATTTAAAGGTCTCAGCATTAGGAAGGTTGAGAACCTCTAGTCTAGGGGAAGCCGCTTCTCTTTACCGAAGTGGTCTGGGATGCAGTGTCTCTGTGGCCTCGATAGATGCAGAGGAACCACTTGGGGTTCTGTTTGAGAATGAAGAAGCAGCTCATGCCCCACACTACTCCAAGGCACCCTGCCTCCAGCATCCTCCAGGACACGCAGAATAAGCAGTGGGCTTCAGCACGTCCCCCTCTCAAGTTTCTCTTCCTGCTGACTTCCGATGGAGCTTGCAGCTCCCACGGCAAGGACTCTGTTTTATAGTCTGTGACTTTAATGAGCTCGGTGAACCTGTTGCCTGGGACACGTAGCGCACGCTACCTGGGTGATGCCTTAACTGGAATGCCCCAGTCCAGGTCCATACATCTGATTGAAGGCAGGTTCCTCTCCATCAGTGAATAATCCTGAAACGCCAGTGGCTTAAAAACCATAAAAGGTTTGTCTCGCTCCTTGGGCAACCTGTCCTTCCCACACCAGCTGCGAGCCGAGCTGTCAGAGCTGCCATCGGTGAGAGTATTGCCATTTGTTGTGGCAGGGGAAAGGAGGTTTTGCTTCTGCAGAAGTCAAATGTGGCTCTTCTGTTCACACTTCAACCTCCAAAATCTATTTGAGGCTATAACAAGCACTAGGGCACTTGGGAAATACAGCCCCATCCTGGCCAGGAAGGGTTGCCAGGCAGCATTGACGCCTGCCTCTCAAGAGAGGTACAGAATGGCTGAAAGGGCATGAGGGCCCAGGGATCCGTCTCACTGAGGCCCATCCCTGATAGTGTGGACATTGTCCTATTACAGAACAAACTGATTCTCTGCAAGCCTGAATGCCCTCGGGGCCTGGAGGAGTGTGCTGTGACATCTCTGGAGGAGGTGTGTCCTGGATAGCTGGGAACCTGACTCACCTGGACCATGGAGGGATACCACTATGACTGCCTCCATCCTCAACTCCGTAAGCTCTCACCAGCCCCTCCCTGGGCACCGATCTCCTTTATGGCGCCTCTCTAGCTGGCCTACAACCTGCACCTTACTGTGTTCAAAGACCCAGACAAGGGCCACGCACTGCCTGCAGGTGTGCCCTGAGAAGCTACTCCTGCTGTCAGGGCCCTTTGAGCTGCTCTGACTCAGTTTTCCCTTCAAAGGCCGGTTCATTGGAGAGTCTGCAGGAAGCCAGCAAGCCTGAGCCTTTGAGGACTCTCTGCAAAACTACATTGAAAGAAATGGGAGACCGCGCAGAAGTGCGGGCTGCTGCTTCTCACCATTCCCACCAGCTGTGTGGGGCATGACACAGCCTCAGCATAGACACCACACACACACACACACACACACACACACACACACACACACACACCACATCCTACTACACTACACATACCACACCACAGCACATCACACCACACACACTACCTACACCGTCACATCATATCCCACTACACCACACATACACAACGTCATACCTCACCATACTACAAACTCACACAACATACCCACCCCACCCCAAATACACATGCATCACAACATACCGTGCACTCTCACAACATCATACCTACCGTAGGATATCACACACACCACCACCACCACCACCACCCCACCACACCACACCACATCATATGCACATATACATATCATATGCACATATGCACATATACACAGCTCCTCCAGCTCCAGTTTGGGTAGGCTGTGCTCCTCCCACCCTGGTCCTGCTCCTGTGACTCATGGGCACCCAGGGGGAAAGAGATAGTACACTTGGCCTTAGATTCTTGGCAGGAGAGGCTCCACCCTGCCCAGAGGCCACCCAACCCCACCCCGACTCACAGACACTATCAAAATGGTTTGCTTTTCACATTTCTGTTAAACATTAATCCTGGGCCTGCCTTGCCCGCTTCAGAAGAGCCCTGGAAAGCAGATGCACGCTGTCTGTCTGTGTTGAAAGCTGGCTGCTTCCTCCTGTGGAATGGGGACTTCCCCTACCTGGGTACCTTGAAGGGGAGCTGTGAGTCTGCGCGAACTGGCTTCAAATCCCTCGCGTCCAATTTCCTTGCTCAGGCCCCAGCTCTGCTGCCTACGGCTGTGTATCTTTAGATGAATGACTCAGCCTTTCTCTACGCCAGCTTCTTCATGGGTGAAACAGAAGTACTGCACAGTGGAGTGGGTGCTCAGAGTTCGTGTATACAGGGTGCCTGGAACAGCAAGGATCCTGGATGTGTTTCTGAATGCAAGTGACACACGTTAGTCTCCGTGGTTGCAAACACCAAGAGCTATCTAGTCCACACATCGAAAGTCAGTGGCAAAAGACATGAGCTACAGACTCAGAACTTAGGGTCATTCCCGGCACCCTCCTCATCTGAGGAGCTCCCACAGAGGCCAGGAGACTGTGTCTTCCCTCAGAACTCACAACTATTGCTGTAGCTCCTACTTGCAGGTTAGATCTGAAACCCAGGAGCCGTGAGCTAACTCCCTTGATACCGTCACGCTGGAGCTGCTAATGGGAGTTCCGTAGCCCACCACCACCACCACCCTGTGTCTGCTAGAGCGTGCTGAGTGCCAGGGCTGGTGGGGGCTGGAGGAACACCGTCCTACAGAAAGAGAATTGGAGAGAGGCAAGCCTGAACACGGGATTCTCTCAGGGAGTCCTTCCTTGTCCTGCCCGTGGAGAAATAGTTAGGTGGCATCAGGAATGTGTGGTGGGATGGAGAAACAGCATCAGCTAGAGACAGCAGTCCAGGGTAAGAGGGTAATGCTGAGTGTGTGTGTGTGTGTGTGTGTGTGTGTGTGTGTGTGTGTGTGTGTGCTAGGATTTACCATATAAACAAGAGGTGATCCAGCCCCTCACCCTGATGAACACACATGCCTACTCCCCATCCATTCCCATGGTTGCTATAGTTCTACTTGTAAAATTTCCCACTCCCACCTCCACACGGCTGAAGGAGGAACTCCAAGTCTCGTGCTTGCTAAGGAAACTCTCTCTACCACTGAGCTACAGCTCAGCCCTTCAGTTATGCAGCTCTCTTTGTGATGGCAAGGTCCTCCAAGCCTTACAGGGACCAATTAAGTAGAATATTTAGTGGTGAATGTCACAGTTGGGCAGCATAGAAGTTCCAGAGAAAAGGGAAGCCAGGTAACCGGTGCCCTCTGGTGGACAGTGTGGCCTGGCTCCTCTCCAGTTCCTCCAGGAGGGGGCTGCAAAGGGCTCAGCTGGAAGCTGACCAAGTTTGCTGGGCCCCATTCCACCTGCTCGGCAGGGAACCACGATGAGAGAGATGTCCTTGCCTTTGAGACATTACGGTCTTCTCAGACCACAGTGCTGCCTAGTCTGGCTTGTGCTCCGGATATGACCAGCAAGCCACCCTGGATACCTGACTCACCATGTCCTTTACGATGTCCATAATCCCGACACTGACTGGGAGCTTTCCTGGTTTTACAGCTAAGGCTCGGAGGCCGTGTGATTCCCCATCACACCGTTTATAAATGCGGGTGATTTGACTTAAATTTACTTTAAATACATACATCTGTCACAAATTCAAATTTTACCACAGAGGCTACACCGAAAACACATCTACCCACCCTCACAACCCCAGCACCCGAGTCACCTCAGGGGCGACCTGTTGTTAGTTTCTTATCAATGTCTCTATACATATTTTACACACACAGCAGTTCGGTTTTACTTTTTTTCTTTTTTAACACAAAAGGTAGATACTACACACTATTGGAAACCTTTCTTTTCTACTCATTAACACCATGGAAGGTCATGTCACAGGCACGAATGCCTACAGCCACCTCATTCTTTTGGAGAGTCCATTGTATGGACTAACGTGTGAGCTTCGTCTACTACTAATATTGCGAGTTGTCTGCCATTACAAACACATGGCAGTGAATGTGTCCCCTTGCACATAGCAGAACTGCTGAGTTAAAGGATATGTAGTTTGTGGCTTTGACAGTTGTTATTAAACGTCTCTTTTATCATTGCACCAACTGACCCTCCCGGGGACCAAGAGTGAAACCTGGAAACTCCCGACTCCAAAGCCAAGGACGTCTCCATCACAGCATATGCCCCTTACCAAGTCCTCAAACTCATGACTGGGACTTCATCAGCCAAATGCTAAGTGTCTCTGCAGCTGCCCACATCTGTGCCTCTTGGAAATCATCTCCAGAAGGCCAGGCGTGATGCAGGAGGGTGCCTTCATGACTCTAGGGCTACAGGGTGTGTCTGGTCGGTGAGCAGACACTCCTGGGCAGGCTGGCCCTGGAGCAGGTGTGCATCTCAACCTTCCCAGGCTTCTAAAGGAGGCAGAGAAGGAGCCTTTGACATCCAGGCCATCAGTGTCATGCCTCCTTTGGCCACCCGGGGCCCCTGCTGAGGGAAGAAGTCCCATTACAGGACACCGACGTTGCTAGTGACCTGATGAGCTGAACCACCCTCCTGGCTGCTTACAGCTTTAACAGCACACCTGAACTTTGGAACAGTCCACAGGAGAAGACACGGGCTTCAGTTGCTCCTCCCTACAGCCTCCTCCATACAGCTCACTCCTCACAGGAGACAGAACATAGCCCAGGAGCACTTCACTGACTGAATGTGAGGCCTCCCCTAGGGCTGGGGGAACGAGGAGCCAGCAGAGCCCATGAGTCTCTTCCCCCACCAGCCTTGGATTCTGGGAGTCAGAGAACCCCACTAACTCCCAGTCAGCATCTCGGGGAGATGGGGAATCGGGATCCTCGTGCCAAGGTGGAGCCTTGCAGCTATCCCAGTGAGCACAGGAAGGTGGGGAAGCTGGCGGGCAGTACTGATGTGTCCACCGCTGGGCATCCAGCCAGACATGTCATCCCTTCTCCTTAGTTCAGGGGAAGACCTCAGCGACCTCCCTGGGGACGTGCGCTTATCTTCGTCACACAGGTGGGGAAACTACAAAATGCTTGAGACAGTCACCTTAAAAGGACATAAACTTGAACAGGATTGTGGAAGTCTACACCTCTAACCCCAGCACTTGGGAGGCTAAAGCAGGAGGTTCAATCTCCCGTGCTGTAAAACAAACAAAACCCCATGTAAGTCTCCGTTGGCTGTCCCTACTGACATGGCTATGCATGGAGTAACAGTATATTTGAGACTCAGCTCACAATGCTATAGGTGTGGTGTGAGTTGTGCTCCACAGTTTCGTGTCGACTTGACAAAAGCTAAAGTCGTCTGAGAAGAGAGAACCTCGATTAAGAAAATGCCTGCATAAGACTGGGCTGTAGGCAAGCCTGTAGGACGTGTTCTTAACTAGTAATTGATGAGGGAGGGCCCAGCCCATGGCGGCTGGTGCCATCCCTACCCTGGTGATCCTGGGTTCTTTTAGAAGGCAGGCTGAGCAAGCCATGGGGAGCAAGCCAGTAAGCAGCACCCTCCATGGCCTCTGCATCAGCTCCTGCCTCTAGGTTTCTGTCCTGTTTGAGTTCCTGCCCTGACTTCCTTCCGTAATGAGCAGTATGTGGAAGTGTAAGCCAAGTAAATCCTTTCCGCCCCAACTTGTTTTGGGGCCATGGTGTTTCATCACAGCAATAGGAACTCTAACGAAGCCATGAGTGGAGGCGTGATGAAAGAAATCCGGCTGCATCTTGAGCTATGAAAGCTGGTCTGTACACAGGGGTCCGTCACACCACTCTGTCGACTGTCGTGCGTGCCTCTGAGTTTTTGAAATAAAAAGGAGCAGAAGAGAGAGAAAGAAGCCTGCAGAGAAGCTTGACTTCGCAAGGGCCTCCCCAAGTTCATAGAATGAAGATCAAAGTAAGGGTCCAGGAACCTGCTTTCATCAGCCTCTGATGGGCAGGGACCTCAGCTGCAGGATCCTGGGCTGACAGAACTGAGCCTGGAACAGAAGCCCCCCCTCCTGGAGCAGCCCCCAGGAAAGGAACTACCTTTCTTGTCAGTGCTATAGTCTGGCTGGGCCAGGCAGTGTGGGGAATGTGATTTACATCAGAGGAGGTCAGTTCGTTCATTCTGGTCCCACATCATTGTTAGGATCATAATAAAAAGAGTGATAGGCTTGACACACTAAGCCAGCTCAATCTTTATTAAAATCTTTTTTTTTTCACACCGTGTTCCCAATTTGTTTCTTTGTTCCTGGTATCTGGAGTCATGCTATTTCTGATATTTGTCTCCAAGATTGAACAAGTTTGATGGGTGGGCCACGGTGAAGCAAGGGTGCTATTCATTTCCTAAGAAATCGATTCCATCCAGCAAGGACTCCCCGCCCCCCAGGACTGCAGAGGCTCTGCCTCAGGGACTCTTCAGTTTGGATGGTTTGGGTGGAGGCTTCTCCAGGTATCTGGAAGATGCTGTGGTTGATATAGAACTCCGAGAAAGCCCACAAACATCTCTAGTACTAGAACTAGCCTGGTACAACAGGACCTCAATGGAGATCTGTCACCTCTGGCTTGGTTCCACCTTTGTTCCTGGACCTTTGCCTGGCCAAAGCACCCAGGGATTCATGTTCCACAAAGCCCCCAACCCTTCAAACCAAACATGTGCCTTCTTATCTCGTTCATCTATGGGGGTGGTCTGGGAATGGCCATGTTTATATTTTAAAGTTGTTTCTGGTTTTTATTTGTTTTTATGTCTGGTTTCATTAAGATTGAATCTCGCCGGGCGGTGGTGGCGCACGCCTTTAATCCCAGCACTCGGGAGGCAGAGCCAGGCGGATCTCTGTGAGTTCGAGGCCAGCCTGGGCTACCAAGTGAGTCCCAGGACAGGCGCAAAGCTACACAGAGAAACCCTGTCTCAAAAAACCAAAAAAAAAAAAAAAAAGATTGAATCTCACGTATAGCCCAAGCTGATCTGAAACTGATAATCCTCCTGCCTCAGCCTCCCTAGTGCTGGAACTACAGGTGTGCAGTCACACACACACACACACACACACACACACACACACACACACACACACACACACTTTCTTTGAAGCTGAACGCGATGTGTATGCCTGCAATCCCGGGAGGTAGAGTCAGGAAGATCAAGAGTTCATGGTCTAGAAGACACTGTTTCCTTGGTGTTTTCCATCCCCTCTGGCTCTTACAGCCTTTCCCTG